GAAAAGTCACTATTTAGTAATTCAATAGATTTATACATTACGAAAACGAACAAAGCCCGGGTATAGTATGGGTGTAGTAGGTGTAGTACAATGAATATAGTAAACCTAAAATCATCAAAAATTAATGAATTAAGGCCGGATCTAATTATGCGTAGTAAGAAATTATGTGTAGTAAGAAATTAACTTAATTATAAACTTAATTACATTCGACTAATTTTCTTCACTTTCAACTGTGATTGGTCAATTCCTTATGGCTTAAGGCTTCCTACATTTATTGTACCATCCGAGTGAAGTTTGAGAACGCAGTCTAACATTAGAGTATTCGGATTTCAGAGTAATAAACTTTGAACATAAAAATATACAATGAAGAAGAAAATTTGTCTAAAAACAAATTCAATTATTTATCTCAGATTATACGATCTTAGAGCGAGTTCACACCTTGACGGAAAAGCAGAAAGCGGAAAAGCAGTGGCCAATCACAACTCGCGCTGGTAGTAAGTATTAATACAAAAAGCCGAATTTGTCGAATACCAGCGCGAGTTCTGATTGGCTGCTGCTTTTCCGTTTTCTACTTTTCCATCAAGGTGTGAACGCGCCCTTAGAAATTACAGAAATATATATGTAGATGTATGTGTGTATAATAATCATTATATGAATAAACGTACATATTTTATAAATTAACGCAGATTGCTTTCACATCTAGAAAAAGTACTTAAATATTTGTTAGATGTATGTATGTACATCTCTTGACATACATGTATGTTACATAAAACCGTCTGTCCGTGAAAACTGAAAAATAACAAAAATAAAAATAAATATTACAATTTTTCTTCTTGAAGTGTATTTAACCATAAGGAATTGACCAATCACAGTTGAAAGTGAAGAAAATTAGTCGAATATAATTTATGATTAAGTTGATTCTTACTACACATAATTTCTTACGACGTATAATTAGATCCGTCCTTAATTGATTAATTTTTGACGATTTTATAGGTTGATTTTATAGGATGATAGGTTTACTATATTCATTGTATGTACTACACCTACTACATCCGAGCTTTGTTCGTTTTCGTAATGTATAAATCTATTGAATTACCAAATAGTGACTTTTCCCAAATGAAAATAATAATGAAGACGTCTTCCCCAAATAATTTCTAATCGATTCCATTCATAAAACACATTAAATAAAATTGCTGTCTGCTAACTTGACGCATGATAAAATTTGTTAATTACAAGAAAAATACTATTTCCCCCAAATGTTTAAATGCTTTTCCCAAATTTCCCCAAACGATTCCCAAATTATATAGACATAAATAAATCAGAAATATTCAATTTGTTTGCTATCTTGGCTGTGTTCCAAAATTGTTTGCAGCGCTGTCAACACCATTCCAAAAATCATCATAGCACGCTGTGGCAGTGCTGCAAGAGATAAAGACGAGTAAAGACACTAATTTTGTCGTCATTTCCTGCTGCGGCTGCTGTGGCTGAAGAGGTGGGGCAGTTACAGCACAAAGATGGCGGAAAAGATGGAGGAGTTAATTTTAATTGATGCTGAGAGTAATACTGAATTTAAAATAAATATTTCGGTAGAAGATGCTGAGAAAGCAAGAAGTAGTGAGTAGATTTATAATTTTTTTGTAGTCAGCTTTTTGTGGTCACATTTATTTATTCATACTTCGAATAATTATATATAATTTCGGCTAATTCTGAATCCGAATCACTAGACTCTTCATCACTAAAATCGAATGCTAATTTTATAATGGTTTCAAATAAAAATTTTTTCTGTATGGTTCTCTCCATACTTCTAGGTTATTTGTTTCTTTTCGCTGAAGTCACTATATGTTAACAGCACTCAAAATATCGTTCCAAAATGAAAGCTGCGTTTGCATGACAAGCATGCTTACTAAAATTGGAACGCTATTGGTAGCATGCACTTATGACGACATACACGCAGCATTGGCAATCAATTTTGGAACACAGCCATAGTCAGTGGTCACCTCTTCAGCCACAGCAGCTGCAGCAGGAAATGACGACAAAATTAGTGACGTCTTTACTCTCTCGCAGCACTGCTACAGCGTGCTACGATGATTTTTGGAACGGTGTTGACAGTGCTGCCAGCGCTGGTAAACAATTTTGGAACACAGCCTTCGTCATCTGCTATCGGTGTGCGTCATTTTACGCAGACATTTTGTTTTGTTCCCGGTATTATTAGGGGGTCATATAAAGAGACTTTTTCCATATTTTCAATATGATCCGGAAAGAGATAAACACTACTTCCCATTCGTCATCAGAACTCGATGAGTCTTCAGATTTATATTTTTTACAGCGCAGTACAATTACCTCAATGGCATCCATGTTACAGAGACTATTCACACACAAAATTCGTTCCACTTAAGATTTCGTCCGCAGAGCCCACAAGCTAATGGAACGGCAAATACTGTGGTCGTGGTCGTTGCAGACTTTAAATGGAACGCACCCAAACTATTCGCGGAGCTGCAGATAGCGCTAACAAACACGATCATGACGTCACTAATGCACTGAAAAAAAGATTGGCTGCTGCAGCAAATTAGATGGTAAAATATGGCATAGCATTTTTAATTGGCTGCAGCAGCCAATTTTTGATTGCGTTAACCTATCTGCAATGTCAACATAGAATTTCGATAGACTAACACAACCAAAAATTGACTGCTGCAACCAAAATGCTATGCCATATTTTACCATCTAATTTGTTGCAGCAGCCAATCTTTTTTTTCAGTGTGGTAGTGTTTTACGTCACAACTGCGCGCTATCAACGCTGTTCCTTTCGAGGTAGTGTATTGGTAGCGTTAGCGTTTGCAAACTCTGTGAACAGTACTGCTGTATTGTCGCACATAGGTCGAATGTTGTTTCAACAATTGTTATAGATTACACAGGTCTACAAAAAAGGGGGTCTTGGATGTTGTCGGGAAGCTGTGGGTCATTTCCGAAGTAATTTTCTGCGTAGAATCCGAATCCGAAACCAGAATTGGCCCATCACGTCAGGATTTTGAGATATTAGGGGATATATACTCGAAAAATGCGTTTTTATGCTACTTTAGAGGTTATGTACAGGACGCAACCAATTTTTTGGGTCTTTTGTGCTATTTGCATCATTTAGTAATATTCTTACCCTTCAAAATGAGATATTGATCGACTACCTACGATTTTTTTTCGCCAAGTTACGGGCATTTTAACCCACTTGCGTAACCGTTTTTCCCGTCTTTTTCGTTCCTGTTCTTAACAAACGTGAAACGACCACAAATATAACAAAAACTGTTAGGATCATTTAAACACTTACGCGGGGCCATTGTTAAGACAGCAAACAGTCACAATTGTGACTGTTTATATATTAGGACCTTGAATAACGGACAGCGCGTCTTGTGCGCTGCGGCTCTGAGTGCAAGGCGTCTACCAACTTTAAACAAATCATTAGTTTTAAACTTATTAATGCAATGAAAATGAAACTTTCCAGAACATTTGTTCATATCCGAATGAACAACTTTCTCGCTGAAAGTTTTAGGATGCTCGAAATTCGCTCGATAAACGAAGCACCTGAATGCATAAAAAAGGATATTTTGCAGGTGTGTATAAAAAAAATAATAAGTTGTTTGTTTATTGACAAATATCGGTTTTTCTTTCTTCACTAGACGTGGAAAACTCTAATGATCATAACTTCGAAAATAGCAAAAAAACGCATTTTTCGAGTATATATCCTCAAATATCTCAAAATCCTGACGTGATAGGCCAATTCTGATTTCAGATTCGGATTCTACGCAGAAAATTACGTCGGAAATGACCCACAGCTTCCCAACAACAAAACCTTGTTGACCTGTATTATACGTTCCTAAGTTGTTCATAGGTTCTCTGTACATTAAAATTTAGGCTGTGTTCCATAAAGTGGCGTCTACAATAAGATTTTAAAGCGTAAAATTTAAAGTAAAATTTAAGCTTTAAACCATAAGCCATAAGAAATTGACTAATCACGGTCGAATGTGAGGAGAACATTCGATTATTGATAGTTCAATTTTTTACGATTTAAGGCTTTTAATCTTGAATTTTACGTCATAAAATCTCATTATAGACGCTGCTTTATTCACTGCGAATTCTATAGACTTATTACGTTTATTTTACAAAACTGTAAAGGGAGAAAAGTTTAGTCGGTGCCGTCGGTGCTTGGGAACAGAATCCTCTACAAGTCTACATTAAACGCTACCACCGCTCGCTAGGATCGTTCATGGAGCTTACTAACACTATCGCGCTATTGGCTCCATGAACAGTATTGGTAGCGCGAATAGTGGCTGTGTTCCAAAATTGACTGTCGGTACTGAAAATCTATAGTGCATGTAACGTAAACTGTAGCATTTTCAGTGTGGCAGTAAATTTGGAACACAGCCAGTGTCTCCCCGAACGTACCGCGTATGTGATAGTGCAACTCTTGAAGAAAAATCACACCTATAAATTGCTGTGTGACTGCTCAAAGATGAAGAAATTAAGTTTTCCGCAGACGGGTTTTTAGTAAAAAAAAATGGCTTTTTGTGTAAAAACTAATGAACATTTCAGGCTTGTTTAGAGCTGGATTTTTTCGTCAACACGAGGGCTACACATTTTACGAGAATTTCAAAACTTTGCATTTAAATCTTGATGAACAGAGAACGAATGAAGAAAAGGCCTTTTCCGGTAGTTATTTTCTTTTTACTCAACTAATAGACCGATTTTAATGTTCTACATCTCACGTTGTAGGTGTATTTCGAATACCTATATTTTTCATATTAAACTTTTTCCTATACAATCAATATCTTTTGTTTTATAAGCGAAAAACATGCTTTTTGCAATGCTATTCGATTTTTTTTCGCATATTCCTACACAAGTCTCGATTCTCAAACATAAAATGCATTTCTTTTCTGATGGCCTTCCGAAGATTTTCGTACAGAGAAATGCTGGTTTACAATTTTTTTCCAAAATGGGAATTTTTCAATCTAATTCTACTGGACTAAAAGTCAAAATAGAAGCAGTCAACGCACTGAAGAGTACTAAGTACGGAATCCATAGACGTTGCTCAAGACTCGAGATGTCTTGAGCTAGTGCTTGAACCAATCAGAGAGCCGTATTAGCATCTTAAGACATTGCTGGAGATTAAGATCGGATTATGGATTCCGGCCTAAGAATTCAGTACATATAGTACAATCTAGAAAATTCTCAGCACTACCAAAGCGCTTCTAATGCGCGCATTAATTAAATTAGAACGACTTTCTATGCAGTCTACGCGTTACATGCGTAACTCGAAACGCATCTTAAATATATTATGAATGGATAATTGGAATGATGCTTGATTTTTGTCAAAAATAAAAATGCATATTCAGATTGTTTATTGTATATTAAGTTAGTAGAAAATTTCATTTTTATAATTATATTGATTTTTACATCTCTTATTTTCATATTTATTAAAACATCGTTCTGGTATTGAAAAACATGCAAATGTCTGTTAGTTAATCAAGAATACTTTATTTCCATATATATATTTTTTTTTCAATTATCCTCCTCGGATACATCTTCTTTATCGTTCTCGTCTATAGTTTTGCCATTCTGTTCGATACCTTTGCTGTTTTGTTCGGCTCCTTCGCTACCACTAAAATCGCCTTCCAATCCTTCCACCTCTTCTTCATCATCACCAGCAACCTCTGCATTTTCGAGTTCCGCTCGTTCCATCTGTCTCGCTAATTCTGCTTCATCCGTCGCAGTAACAACTTTTGGCTAATATTGCAGAAAAGAAACAGTATAATTTTTTTATTATAATATGCAAAATATTAGATGAACATCATTTATGCATGAAACTTACTGCCATTTGTACGTTGAATACACCTCCAAGTGACGTTATTTTATTCTGTATGACTTCGATTGCGTCACCTAACGCCTTTAAACCGTCCTGTTTTTCTGGGGTAGATGTTGTCATGACTGAAGATCGCCATATAATAATGTATAAGATCACAATTTTTAATACAAGATTGATTTGAAAAATAATATAGAACATATACCATATAATGGCGGAGCAATTAAGTTAATTTTTATAGGAAGTTCATCGGTGGAAAGAGCTAAGCCTGCCTTCAATGCAGTCTTAACAGCATCAATCCCTTCATAACCATAACAAGCCACTTCCACATCTGCTCTAATTTTAACCGCTTGCGAAGTAAGTTTTCGCTTAATATTATTTAGCAACACTTCCTTCGTTTGTTCATCCAAACCACATTCTGCTAAAATGGAAGGATCCCTAAAAGTGTTTGTATTCATAAATATATCTCTAGAGATACATTTAAATATATTTTCAAATAAGTAAAGAAGGGCCGAATAAATAAAAAAGGGTCGAGACTAGATCGGTATCTAATTTAAAGGTAAATTTTAAATACATGCTCTCGTTATATATACAGGGTGTCCCATTTTAAATAATAAATTAAGATTTCTCGAAAACTATGATAGAAACCGAAAAATGTTTCAAACAAAAGTTGTATGGTTCGAAGGGGGACATAAGAAGGTATCATTGATTTGACCTTAGGTGGCGTCGTTAAGGTCAGGTCAAAGTCATATCGATGTTTTTTAAATGGAACACCATATTTTTTATTTCAGAATCTAATAACTGGTGTCGAGAGTTTTCCAAAACGCTATAAGAAAATATTTTTTCATTAAGTACTTTTTGAGTTATGATGCTTGAAAGTTATAGTACCGCCGACATTAACATTATGCAAGATGTCCGATCGACGACTAAAACCTCTTGAATGTTGTTCAGGATCATGTCCTGGATAATGTTTGTCAAGATCAAAGCCATTTAAGATTATTTCCTCTTATTTCATTTTTGACACTAAAAATTCATTTTTACGTAAAAATGAAAATAAGAGGTACCTCTAAGCATCATAACTCAAAAAATACTTAATGAAAAAATATTTTCTTATAGCGTTTTGGAAAACTCTCAACACCAGCTATTAGATTCTGAAACAAAAAATATGATGTTCCATTTAAAAAAAATTGATGTGACCTAATCTTAATGACACCACCCAAGGTCAAATCAATGATACCTTCTTATATCCTCCTCCGAACCATGTAACTTTTGCCTGAAACATTTTTCCGTATCTACCAATTTTCAAGAAATCTTAATGCATTATTTAAAATGGTACACCCTGTGTAATACTGCTAAGCAATATTGACGCACAGTTTATATGAAGATGTATTTAAAATTTATATGTAAATATTGCTGGGCCCCAAGAACTAGTCTATTGTATTTGAGTCTCCTTTAATTAATTTATTCATATAGCGATCTAATTCAACTTATTGCAGTTATTAATGCAATTAGATTTTGCTTACAATACTGATTGTTTGAAAAAATCATAAGCAGATGCCTTCTGTTTCTTGTATTTTTCTTCAAAATGCCAAGCTGTTTTCTGATAGAGTTCTTCAAGCTGGTCGTCATTATCATAATGCAACAACTCTGCCACATGTCTTAAAATAGAATTAACAGCTTTAGCCTTAGCATATCTCTCCGTACATTTTTCCACATCCTCAGCAGAGCTTACTCAGATCAATATAACCTAGAACCCATGATTAATACATTTCATTACAATGAAAATTGTATAAACTTGAAAACTTATGTAAATGATTTAATTTCCCATTAACTGCACTTGATTCTCATTTACTCGATATAGTTTTGTTTCTGTTGATTTTTTATTTGAACCAATAAAACATCCTCAGTTACCTTTCTCCTTATCTACACGAATAACAACAACTGGTTCAGTTTTGCCTACTCGGATAAGTTTGTTAATAGATCTAATACGTCTTCTAGAGAGCTCAGAGAGCAAGATCATGCCTTCAATATTATTGTACTCCAATAAATGAACATATGCGCCCATCTCAGCTATACTGCGTACATTTACCATCACCACATCCTCCACCTCTGGATACTTTTCTTTATAAAATCGACACGATAGTACCATGTTTTGCTGAAAGCATGCAATATTGTACAATGCAGCGACATCAAAAATAATATCCTGGTAGTAATTTAAAAAATACAAGAAATATTTGAAAAATATACCGTCGACAATTTTGCGAAATTCTCAATCAAAACAATTATTTAACCCTTTGTGGACAGAGCTGCCTAGCGATAAAAAGGCGACTATTTGCGAAAACGCGTTCACAAAAGGTTAAGCTGCATTCCAAAATGTTCTGTCCGTGGAAAATTTTCCTCAAAATATAGAAGTACACATAACGTATGCAATATTGTATTGAGTAAAATTTTCTTTAGAGGGGATGTTTTGGAATGTAGCATTAAAAAATAAGAATATGTTAACTTGAAGGTTAGTAAATTCTGGAGAGTTAATAAAATATAGCCGCTAAAAGATATTCTGATCGTTACCTAAATAATTAATACTTGCGCAAAAATAAATCCTCCCTTTATCTTTACAAACTGGCTTAAAACTGCAAAAAGTTTCACTGCATGAAACTTGTCAATAATCCATGTGCACAATTTCGTCTAATGGTGCAACCACAATAGAAGGAATAAGGCCGGAATCAGACTACGCATTGAAGATTGAGATTGAAGATTGAAAAATTCAGATTTGACCAATCGAAACGAAAGGAGCTAAAATTTCTTTGTCCTTATTGGTCAAATTTCAATCCTCAATCTTCAACGCGTAGTCTGATTCCGGTCTAATAATGCGGGGTCTACAATAGAAGTCGTAGCGGTCATAAAGGCTTAAGTCGTAGAAAATTGACCAATCACAGTTGATTATTCTTCTCATATTCGACTGTGATTGGTCAATTTTCTACTTAAGACCTTACGACCGCTACGACTTCTATTGTAGACCCCGCATAATGGTCGCGTTCAGCAGACTCAACTGTTGCGGAGCAGATCCGTGAGCGCTCGCTGCTATTGGATGATCTAAAAGAATACACCAATAGCAGCGAGCACTCATGGATCCACTCCGTAACAGTTGAGTCTGCTGAACGCAACCAATCTTAAGATGTGAATTTAAGTCGATGAGCCAATCAAGATACTGTTTTAGATTTACGTAATCTGGCGGAAATTGAAATAGCAGTAAACTTATCCATAAAGCCCATTCTACAATTGCGTAGTTGTAAGTAGTTAAGAATTGACTAATCACAGTTGAATATTCTCCTCATATTTGACTGTGATCGATTAATTCTTACAACTACAACCACTTAGGGCGCGTTCACACCTTGAAAAGCAGCAGCCAATCAGAATTCGCGCTGGTAGTCGACAATTTCAACTTTTTGTACTATTTACTACCAGGGCGAGTTATGATTGGCCACTGCTTTTCCGCTTTCTGCTTTTCCGTCAAGGTGTGAACGCGCCCTTATAACTATTCTTACGCAATTGTAGAATGGGTTTAAGACGAGTTTCAACCAGTTGAAATTCGCCTTATTCAGAGGTTATGGACAAGTTTACTGTTATTTCCATTTCCGTTAGATTGCGTAGACCTAAAGCAATATCCTGATTGGCTCATCGGGTTAAGTTTACGTTTTACGGTCACTGTTACAGAATTTTGTGTGCGGCAGCCCTAAGGACCCTCATAAGCCCAGTGTCCACGATGCTAGAAATCCGTCCGAGATTTCGGATGAAGAAAGAATTGACCAATCGCATCATTTTTACGTAAAAATGATGCGATTGGTCAATTCTTTCTTCATCCGAAATCTCGGACGGATTTCTAGCATCGTGGACACAAGGCTTTAGACAAAATTTCTGTGACAGTAAAGCCCAAGACACAATACGAGGGAACAGCGATAGCGATAGGAATAATACGATTTTAACCTATCAGAAACTATATTGGAATACACAGAAGTGTATTCCGATATATCCGATTTCTGACAGGTTGAAATCGTGTTATTCCTATCGCTATCGCTGTTCCCTCGCATTGTGTCTTGTACATCTACAATTTACCTCAGATCTACAATAGGTATTTTAAGCCTTAAGTAGTAAGAAATTGACCAATTACAGTCGAATTCGAAGAGAATAATCGAATACGATTCGTCCATTTCTTATGGCTTAGGGTGCCGTCACATGCGGCATAACCTGCGTAAGCGTAACCTGCATATTCTAGTAATTTACTAGAATACGTTATTTTTTATATACTAGAATACTCCATTCTGAAAGCCGGCATTCACATTGGGCGTATTTCGCGGAAGATTAGAGAAATGCAGAATTAATGCAACCAATTGCTGATTAGAATTTCTGTTGTACACTCTAACAGAAATGCTAAACGAATTTACGATTGGTTTTCGTAATCTACGCAACTCGAAAAGTACGCCTCATGGGGAATCGGTACTTTCTATCGCGTACATACAATACGCGTTTGTATAAATTTAAAAGAAGAGAGTTTGATTTATAATGGCAGTAACCGTTAACTCATGCCAATGCCGGTAAAGTTCAACCATAGGATTTCAATGCTTTCGTTCATACTAACTTGCTGTATTAGTATGAACGGAAGCATTGAAATCCTATGATTGAACTTTACCGGCACCGGCAGTAGTCAATCAATTTATCGCTTTTTACGGTCTTAGGGTGAAATCACACGGACACGGTATGGAAAAAGACTGCGGAATAGAGAATGCGTCATTGAAGCAACCAATCAGCGCTATTCCGAATAGCGCTGAATAACGTTGATTGGTTGCTTCAATGACGCATTCTCTATTCCGCAGTCTTTTTCCGCACCATGTGATTTCACCCTTACGGTTACGACTAAAGGTAAATTTTCACGAGCTGCTCAAACCGGCTGTTTCAGTGACAAAAAGGATCACGTGATCAAAATTGACGAATGATATTTGTATATCATTATAGCTAGCTCGACTCTAATTGAACCACAACGCTTGCGACACGCTTACGACACTGAGATGCGATTAATGTAGAACCAGCTTTAAGGAGCTTACAGACCAGAGCGGCGCAG